CATTTCAAAGTCCTGGTGAGAAAGATGCCGCTTGTTGTGATTTACAAATCTATTCAAACCCCTACTTCTTTCTTCAGCTAGCCAGAAAGGTTTTCTTCCTCTGCCTCATCTCTCCCATGTAGAGCTAGAAGACTAAAGCTAAAGCTTTTTTGTAATATAAGATTAAAATTGAATGTTAAAATTTTTGTAAGAGTCATCAAGTCCCTACAGAGATGGAGAATTAGATGTCATAATAACTCATGGCATTACATTACAAATGTCCAAGGTTACTGGCCACCAAATACTAGATTATCTCAAAGGCTACTCATAAATTTTTCCTGCTGCCAAGTAATATAACATCTTTTAGTCTTGCAGCACTAAGGTACCTTCAGTGCTTTTAATCTTCAGAATCAGGTCTCAGTTGAACAAAGAAATAATTCTATGTAGACACGAGGAAATGAACCAAAAGAATGAATGTATTCCTTCCAGCCTAGTCCCCCTTGTGTGAACTATGAATTAAGTCACAAATAAGACTGCAAATTCATCACCAGGTCCCAGGGGTATGCTATCATTAAAGTTAAAGGCGTCCAGAAACTTCTCAAATTGAGAAGGAAGACAGTTGGGTTGGAATTTCCAGTCCCTCCTCTTAGTTCTGGCAACCTGTTCCAAATCAACTGAAAGTGAGTTGAACGGACATCTGTTCTTCAGAAAATATTTGGCACCAAAGAAATTGCAGATTAGAACCGCCTAATACTGTTGTGGGAAGAGAGACACAAAGGGAGGAGAGAATGGGAAAATTAGAATCATCTACCTATGAGCAAACAACTAAGTTCATCAATGCCATTAGAAAAGAGAAGGGAAGAAGGAAGAAGGAAATTCAATGGAAGAATTGTCCTTCTTTCAAAAGAGTTGACACTGACTCTGGGAACACAAAATTTCTGTATTTGAGATGAATATTTGCACATTTACCATTTGTTTAATGATTCAATATTGGATTGTCTTCAAGAGGAGAAGCCATCAATTAGTCCGTTTAGAGTTGGGTAACAAAACCAACACATTCAACAATGTCCAAAACAATACTGGTGAATCATTTTCTAAGCCTTGATACACTAGTGGACCATCTTATGGTAAGATTATTACAGGTTTTCCTCTGATCCCAAAATCACTTAATACAATGAAAATACCATGTAGTAGAGCTCAAAGCATAACTCAAGTTGTAGAGTACCTGCCTAGCAAGTTCAAGGTCCTGAGTTAAATTCCTAATATTGCCAAATAACAACAAACAACAACAACATGGAGCGTCCATTTTCTTAGCGTCTAGTCAAACTATTCGGCATTACTAGACTGCAGATAAGGCTTAATGTTAGAACTCTGGCTTAGCAAACCCAAGTCCCAGAGTTCAATCCCTGAATAAATGAATCAATGAATCAATGAATGAATGGATTAAATAGTAAGATAACAGGATGATATCAGTAGGTAACTGAATTCTATTTTCTACACTGGAAACTTATACTTCTGAAGTATTTCTCAATAGTAGGCTTAGATGTTATTAACAACAGAAAGAACGGTAGCAGAAACCATGGTAATAATAATGGTAAGAGTAAGAGCAATACTAATGGTAATACTAATAACTCACTTAAACCTCATTTCCTAAGTGCTGTGAATCATTCTAAGCATGTCAGACACATTCACTCATGAAATCCTCACATCACTCTAATAGGCAAGTGAAATGTTATTCGTTTCCTGTTTTAGATGTTCTCCACAAAATCTCTTTGTTATTTCTGTTAACAATGAGAATTACCTTTCAAAGAAAACATTTAGAACCATAAGGACAGAAAAAGCAACTTGCCCAAGGTCACCTAGTCAGAAGGTGCCAGACCTGAAACTCAGACCCATGACACCCAGCAGTAAAGTTGAACCTCTTAGCCACCATGATGCATTACTTCCCCTGGCTTAGAAGACCTTCTAGAAAAGGAATATGCCCTGCCAATTAATACATGAAATAAGCTGTTTATCTTAGCCCCACAATAGACATACAGCCTGCTCCTACAGCTATAAAAAGTGGCTGCAAGTGTTACCCAACTATACCCAGGGTGTGACCAGGGTGAGCTCCCCTTAGATGGTTCACCTTCACCAGCCAAGACCAAGGCTGGGGGTGGGGTGAGAGAGAAGCCTCCTTCCCAGGCCACATTTCCTGCCCAGTAACACAGTCTTCAAATAGCCAAGGCTGCAGCCTGTGAAATCCCTCACTGAAAAGTTAGGTCCCAGAGCTTTTGCCTTGAGTTTTAAGAATGAACTTTTACTCAGCAATCACCTCTGATCAAGAAAGAACAGGACTAAGGAAAAGAAATAAGCAACAAAGTGTGTTTATTAACTTGCTCCACCCAAGGGAACTTCTTTTTTTCTGAAAGGGTGAAATTCTTAGGACTCAAAATGAACAAAAGAAAAAAAAAGGAAAAAAAAAAGTCTGTGGGAAATTTAATCACCAACACAACAAAAGGGAAAAAACAAAGTCCTACCAATGAGGATGTTGCCAGAGACAATGGACCCCGAGGGGAGATGCAATTGTGTCAAAGAGAGCAATCCCCTGGGAACTGGACTCACACTAAAAGCTAGCTTATTGCTATATTAGCTGAGGAATCTTTGTTCACCTGGCAACAGTGAACAAAACCATCTGTTCCTGCCCCTAGGCTCCACCAGAGTTGGGAAGACCCCACATTTACATTTCAAGAGGAATCTCCAGTAAGGAGGGAGGAGGTCTCTATCTCTCTCCAAGTTAATATGTTTTTTATATGGCCTGGAAGGGGGGGGGGAGAGAACACTGTCCTTTCAGTGAAATTGAACCTCACAGTTGAAAGGAGATAGGCCCCTTCAATAATGCACAGGCAGGCTCCTGCTACCTGGCCCTAAAGCCATGCAGGCAACTCAAGGTCTCCCATTCTTCAGTTGGAATAAACGGCTAAGTACCAATGAGCATGCCAAATTGTCTCCTAAGAGTTTCTTAGGAATATCTTTCTTTTCTCAGACTGTTATAAAGAGTGATGTCTCTTTTGTATGATATTTAGATATATGCCCTACTAACTTAAAAAAAAAGGCCACAGATCCCAAGTGAATGTTTCATATCTTACTCTACATGGGGGCTGTGACAATACATATATATCCCAAAATTCATGGAGGCGCACCCTTCCAATGCACACACTTGCCTGTACCTGAATTATACTATGATACAATTTTAAAGGGAGAGTATGTCCATGGCATTTACAATGAAGGACAGTGGGAATAAATCACTCCATAAATAGTAAAGATAGTCTGGTCTTACATCTTCCCTTCACCCCATCCACATCCAAAATCAATCTCGAGAAAGTTCAAGGGGAAAAAAAAAAATACAGTCATGGTTCTCTCCACTCAGCCAGCAACTACAAATGTCTCTGTGCGGCCTGCGTATCCAAGTATGCAGCACGGAGAGAACACCTGTCACATGCCACATATCAAAAATAAAAAGCCGCTGGGGTCTTGGCTGGAGTGGTAGAGCACTTGTCCAACACATGCATAGGCCCTAAGTTCACACCCCAGAACAGCATTAAATGAGTAAGTAAATAAAACAGAAATAAAAGGCCAATGTCTTTTTCTCGTACAGTAGAGGGCTATCAAATTATAAGAGACCCGGCTGAGTTTTTAACAAGAGTGTGGAGTTTGTCCTGTTTCTAGATTCTTGGGGCAGCCTGGAAGTTGCAGACCTGGGGCTGGAGTCTTCCAGCAACACGAGGGGGGGGGGAGTTTTTTTGTTTTTTTTTTTCCCCAGAGGCAACTGGGCAGGTTTAAATCTGCAGCATCTGTAGCTCTGTCACCCAGCAGCATTTGAGATCTGCGATGTGTAGGGGTTGGGGGGAATGCGGTTGACTTAGGGACAACCAATATTAAGATGTTCCTTCTCTGTTGGTCAGGATCAAGAGATATACACACTTCCTCCTCCGAACCATCAGGCAAGGAGGGCCGCGTGTCACCGATGGGAAAGAGGGCCGATCATGTTCATTTTCTTCCTACGTCCATCCAGATAGGTTCCTTACACGGGTCTCCAGGGGTAGCCCTCTCCCCCCGCCCTCCAAGCCCCCCCACCCCACCCCCATTCCCGCAGATCGATCGTCTCGGTAGCGCAGAGCTACCAAGCCCGGTCTACAGATAGGCATCGTGAATCAGGATCACCCAGCAAGCCTGAGCCAGCCAGAGCTATAGTGATTTCTCTGGCCGGCCACCTAGTCATTCAAGAAGTGAAATCTGTCACCTGGGCCGGGTACCAGGTCCTTCCGAGCCCACTCGGCGGTCTGCGGGACACAGAGGCGGCTGCCAGTGGCGGAGCGGCGGGCGGTGCCCGCAGGGGGGTCCAGCCGCCCCCCACGCACCCCCTGCCACCCTTGCCAGCCTCGCACCTGAACCGGTGCCAGGAAAACAACGGAGAGGCTCGGGTGGGTATGCGCCTCCCCGGACACACACACACACACACACACACACACACACACACACACACACCGCCAACTCCGCTCCTGAAGGACCAGGAGCGAGACCAAGAGGCGGACACGAGAGTAGGACACCCCGAAATGCGGTGCCCGCGCGTGAGGACTTCGGGAGCTCAGTGCGCCTTTGCAGCGCTTCTGCTCGCCGCGGGCTTCCCTTGGCAGCGCCTGGGAAAGCCATGTCAGCTGAGATTTGTATTCGAGGCCGGGCGGACAGGAGCGGGCGAAGGTGCCGGGGAGCGCACGGCGACACTGCAGAGTGTCCCCCTCCCCGCCCTCCCGGGAACCCAATGCCCAAGCGCCGGGGGTGGACTGCAGATCAGATCGCCCCGGGCCGCAGAGGGCGACCCAGAGCAGCTAGCCAAGAAAGTGGGGCGTGAGGGGGGGGGGGCGAGGCTGGACCTGCGGTCCGATCGGTGATCCATCGGGGTGCGGGGCGGTTCCCCAGACCCCAGCGACCCCCACCCCCACCCCCGCAAGGCCGCCCTCCCGCCGGCCACCAGCACCTACCTCGATCCACTTCTGCGCCTCGGAGAAGGCGGGCTCGGGGGGCGGCTCGGGCTGCAGGGGCTGCAGAGCTTCCAGATCGAGCGCGGGACAAGCCATTTGCGAAGCCCGGGGTCCGCTGCCGGAGCGCGCTGGGCCGCCGGGAAGAGCACGGCCGCTGCCGCAGGAGCGCGCTCCCGCCCCTTCCCGCCCGCCCTCCGGCCCTCCCCTCCGCTCCCCCTCCAGGCGCAGGTCCCCGCGGAGGCTGCCGCAGCTGTGCCCCTGCGCCGCCGGGGCCGGGCTGAGCCGTGCGTGCCCGGCGGGAGCGAGTGCGGAGACCGAGGGAGCTCCCTCTCCTCTCCACCTTCGCGGCCGCTCCGCCCCGCCGGAGGGGAGGAGGGGGCGGGGAGGGATGGGGAGGGAGCCTCGGCTACCGACTAAAAATAACCTGGAGTGAGCACTGGGTGTCTCCCTCCTCGCTCACACCAGGACCAGGAGAGGGACCTGGCCGCCACCCCGCACGTCCCCGCGCCAGGCCTGCTGCCAAGGGGGCGGGCCCGACCGCTGCACCTGGGAGACGCACGGAGCCCGGCGCACGCGTCCCGGGGAAGGGGATGGGCGGGAGGGGGGGGGGAGAGGGAGGAACACCTGCCGTCCCTACCAGCGCTGGGGTGAGGTTTCGAGAAGGACAGCCCCTCCCTCACCCCGCGCCCCGAAGTGCACAGCCTTTCCTTGATCTTTTCTTTTTATTTATTTATTTATTTATTTTTTATTTGTGAACATACTGTACAGAGGGGTTACAATTACATGGGCAGGATAATGCGTACATTTATTACCAAGCATTGCAGCCTCCTCCTTTGGTTTACCCTTCACATCCCTTCCCAGCCTCCCCCCTCCCCCCCAATCCCAACCCTTCTCCTCCCCCCCTCCCCCCCCGACGTTGTAAAGCTCGTTTTGGACATGACAACTTATACTTCTCGTTGTTGCATCAGGTCCACCTGTATCCTTAAACAACTGTTTTTTTCCCCCTCTCCTCCACAAGTTATACTGACATCAAATATAGTGAAAGCAGGGGTTATACTGTGGGGGAGGGACATACAAAGCAACAAAGAGATAATCTTATAAATGCGTTAGAAACACATGCATGAAAGAAAAAACATTAAAATACATGTCTAAGGGTTCATTTTCCTGACATCACATTATCTGACCTTTTCCGCTTGACTCATTCCTTGATCTTTATGGAAGAAAAAATCAAACTCCAGGCAAGCTATCTGGGCCCTCACTCATTGATTCATTCAAGCAATATTGATTGAGCACCTACTGCTGGCCAGGCTTTGAGCTTAGGCACTGGAGATCTATAGATAGAGCTAAAATAATGCTAATTAATAATAATAATTGGGAGTGTAAAGGGAGGCACAGAAATGGAGGGACAAAGGATGAACAAAGGAAGACGTGGTACTCACTGGACGGCATGTGGAAAAGGAACTACACAAGGACTGGAGAGGGACCAAAGGGAAACACTGGGAGAGCGCGAGGGAAGAGGTGATGGACTCATGTAACTGTAACCGCTCTGTACATCACCTTTAGAATAACAATAATAAATCAACAAGGGCTGGGAATGTGGCTTAGTGGTAGAGTGCTTGCCTAGCATGCAGGAGGCCCTGGGTTCAGTACTATATAAACAAAGAAAAAACGAATAATGCCCTCAAAGTACTGATTTTACAGGCAATGGGGTGAGGGGCAGGACAGACACTCCTCAGGCAAATGTAAAGAAGATCCTTCTACCAGGTGGCACCTATTGAAAGAGAGGATGAGCCATGGGTTGGGAGAACAGAGCACGCTGCTTTCTGATGGCCTGCCAGCCTTTCTCCTGGGAAGCTGCCCAGGGCATCCTTGTCCAGTTAATCGAGGGTGCTCATTCTCCTCCCTCCCCCTACAAGGGTCCAGAGGGCTGGCTGTGTCACTTTGGCAACTGTCATCTCTTGCCCCCACCCCAGTGGCAGAGATAGATGTATGAAGCCCCCCATCCCCACCCCTGTGGTGGCCATCCTGCCCACTTCCTTCTAACCCCCTCAGACACCCCTCCTTGAGCATGCTCCGTCCTTCCTGAGACCCTCCATGATGGTCATGAAGAGTTCTTTTGAAAAGACTATATAATGAGGCAAAGGAAGGTCAACCATGCAACAGTCTGGGAGAGATGTTTCCAGATGGGGGGCCCCAGGCCTCCAGGTAAGAACAAGCCTGGTGGAATGAAGGAACCCATGAAGACCTGGGGGTGATGGCAGCATGGTGAATGACAGAAGGGAACAGAGGCAGTGCATGAGCTGAGGACAGCCACGCTGGGTACTCATTGTAGGGCCCTGGGAGCCCAGCACTGGGTGCTTTAGCTCAGTACTCCCAGCAGACCTCCAGTGAGTGGATCCTTTAGAAAGGCCACTGGGAAGTGGTGTCTTTTCCTGGTTCAGAGCCCAGGCTTTAGTCTTGGTCCAGTTCTGCAGCTATAATTGGGGGTGGGGTAGGGCCATAAGGTAGGGCTAGCATTGCACCATTCCATGCGTTGGAGTCAGACAGGCTTCAGTTTATGTACTTGGAAAACACTCAGGTGGCACGTGTGCAGTACCAGGCACTGTTCTAAGTGCAGTACAAGTGACTGACCAACCCGGTCCTTACTGCAGCTCGGTGAGACCCGAAGGACTGTTAGGATCCATTTGAGGAACCACAGTGGGGGCGTGGGGGCGAGGGAGAGGGAGCTGAGACTCAAGCCCAGACAGCCCAGCACCAGCTCTACTGTGACTGCAACTCCCAGCTACCTTTCCACTCCCATCCACACTGCCACTGGCATTTGCCTCAGTTTCCGCATCTCACAGGAGGTTGAAGTGGCTGCCCAGCAGAACTGAGCAGAGCAGCAGACACGATAATTATGAAAGACTGGCCAGCACATAGCCAGTACTCAGTACTGGCCAGCTGACCACCCCCTACCACCTGCCCTCCAAAGAAGAAGGGAAGGAGAATGTACAAAGCAGAGATAAAGGAGGCCCGTAGAAAGAAAGGACTAATTAAGTGCAGTGTCAAGATCAGCTCTGTCCACAAAGGAGGATTGCAAGGAGGTCATCAAATCACTGATATGCTGACATGAACTGCCAGGCATGGTGGTGTATATCTGTAATCCCAGCCCTTGGGGGTAGACATAGGAGAAGCACAAATTCAAGGCCAGCCTGGGCTGGCTAGACTATACCATAAGAGCCTGTCTCTTTTTTGTTTAAAGTATACAATTCAATGGGTTTTCCTGTACTCACAGAATTGTGCAACATAACTAAAATTAATTTCAGAACATTTTTACCTCTCCAAAAAGAAACATACCAATTAGCAGTCACTCTTCCATGTCCTCCACCCCTGGCAGCCATTCATGTATTTTATTTTTTTCCATAAGTTTGCCTGTTCTAGATGTTTCATATAAATGGAGTCATGGGCTGGGGATATGGCTCAGCAGCATCCCAAGGTCAGACCAAGTACTAAAAAATATGCTCGATAATGAATACATCAATGAAGTCATACAATATGTGGTCTCTTGAATGTGGCTTCCTGGCATGACACATGTGTGTGTGTGTGTGTGTGTGTGTGTGTGTGTGTGTGTGTGTGCTGATCCTGGGGCTTAAACCCATAGACTGGGCACTGTCCCTGTGTGTTTGTATTTAAGGCTAGTGTTCTACCACTTGAGTCACAGATTGACTTCCAGCTTTTGGGGCAGTTAATTGGAGATAAGGGTCTCACAGGCTTTTCTGCCTAGGCTGGCTTCAAACCATGGTCCTCAGCTCTCAGCTTTCTGAGTAGCTAAAATTACAGGTGTGAGCCAGCACCCAGCTTAGCATAACATTTTTAAGGTTCACCTCTGCCATGTTGCAGCAGACCAACACTTGGCTTTTCTTCTTTTTAATCAACAGAGAGTCTCATTCTTACCCAGTCTGGCCCCAAATTCCTGGGCTGAACTGACCCTCCTGCCTCAGTCTACAGGCATGTGTTACAATGCTCTGGGGTTCATTTAGGTTTTTTGTCTTTTTGGGGTACCTGGATCATGTCTGCATATACACTGGACAAATATTGTCACTAAGCGACATCCCCCAGCCTGTATTCCTATTTACTTTTTAAAAATTTTTTTAAATTTTATTTTATTTTATTTGTGACCATACTGTACAGAGGGGTTACAATTACATGGGCAGGATGATGCGTACATTTCTTACCAAGCATTGCAGCCTCCTCCTTTGTTTACCCTTCACATCCCTTCCCAGCCTCCCCCCTTCCCCCCCCCAATCCCAATCCTTCCCCTCCCACCCCCTACCCACCCCCCCGCACCGACTCGTTTTGGACATGACAACTTGTACTTCTCATTGTTGCAACAGGTCCACCTGTATCCTTAAACAACTGGTTTTTCCCCATCTCCTCCACAAGTTATACTGACATCAAATATAGTGAAAGCAGGGGTTATACTGTGGGGGAGGGACATACAAAGCAACAAAGAGATAATCTTATAAATGCGTTAGAAACACATGCATGAAAGAAAAAACATTAAAATACATGTCTAAGGGTTCATTTTCCTGACATCACATTATCTGACCTTTTCCGCTTGACTCATACATATACTATATATTGCAAATAAGGGAAACCATGGGACCTATGTTTCTTTGGGCCTGGCTTACTTCACTTAATATAATTTTTTCCAAGTTTTTCCATTTCCTAACAAATGGGGCAATGTCATTCTTTCTGATGGAGGCATAGAATTCCATTGTGTCTATATACCACATTTTCTTGATCCATTCATCTACTGAGGGGCATCTGGGTTGGTTCCATATCTTAGCTATGGTAAATAATGCTGCAATAAACATAGTTGTGCTGGTAGCTTTAGTGTGGTCTTGTTTGTAAACATATATATCACCCCGCACCAGAATCAACTCCAAATGAATCAAAGACCTCGGAGTCAAAGCAGACACTCTGAAAACATTACAGGATGGAATAGGAGAAACCCTAGGTCTCCTTGGCTCAGGCCGAAATTTTCTGAATAGAGACCCAGAAACACAACAAATCAAAGAAAGGTTGGACAAATGGGATTGCATGAAGTTGCAGAGCTTCTGCATGGCAAAGGACATAGCTAGCAAGATCAAT